CCGGTCCCCCGGGGCCTGGGTCTCGGCCGCCTGCTGCTGAGCGCGGCAGCCCCGGCGTTGCGCGGCGCCTCCCGCAGCAGATGCCCTGCCGCGCTCGGCCAGCGGGAGGGCCGGGGTCTCGCCTGCAGCCTGCCCAGCGCAGCAGGGCTCGGTGTGGGGCGAGGAAGATGCACAGAGAAATCCTCTGCATCCGACACCCCAGCCTGGCTTTTGCTGAGCTGCTGGCGGGCTCTGCAGCACTAGGAGAAAGGAGCTGGTGCTCCTTGCTGAGGAATCCCTTCCCAGAAATAGCACTGGCAGCCTCTGGCCCCCCCCCCGCTGCCTGGCATAGGTCAGAGGTGTGCTCGGGACAGGCCGTCCCCGAAACCCAGGGGTTTCAGCCTTTATAGACCTTTGTGCAGAACAAGTGAAGCGGAGCAGGGCCTGCGCGCGCCAGCAGGTCTGCGCGAGCGTGGGGACGGCAGCAGCGCCCGGGCGCAAGCGAGGCCGGACGCCCGAGCAGCGCCGCGGCTTGGGCCTCTGCTTGCAGAAGGTCATCTCTGCTCTGGTCTTAAAGCCTTCTTCCATCTGAGGCACTCCTGACTACCTTTTGGAATATTCCAGTGCCCAAAGCCTTTGGGTAAAAGGCTAACCTTGCTACAATACCTTTCAGATGGGTCTTTTTCCTTGATGCCTGCCTGGGCTAGGCCACGGTTCCCCGAGACCTGTGCTGAGCTGAAGCAGTTGTGACAGTTGAGGCTCAAGCCATGCCCAGGAGAGGATGGGCCAGCTGCTGGGCTGCCACCAAGCAAGCAGCCTGCTTGTTGCTGCCGCTGTCGCCGCGTGCTGTGTCACGTGCCCTCCCTCTAAGCGCTCGCTTGCGCGTCCTGCCTCGTCCATGTGCAGGGCAGGAGGCAGGAGTGGTGTTTGCCCGGCGCTGCTAAACGGTGTGGGAGGCACTGTGTAAACGCGGAGCGCGTCGCGCAGCCGCTGGCCACTAACAGCTTTGGGTCACTGCTGACCTGGGCTGAATTCAGCCAGATGACCTAGAAGCAAGAGGCCGTATCCTGTTACTAAACCCTTCAGCAATCTAGCCACTCATCTATAATTATATTTGATATACGGGAGTGAGGTGGAGTTTGGGATTTTTTAGCTTCATATGATCATTTAGAGAAGTTATCTCACTTAATGATCTAATTTGTACATTCTTAAAAGACTGATTGTGGGCTAATATGCTTTTTTCCTTTTAGTTTGCAGTGTTGATGTGGGTATTCACTTATGTTGGTGCCTTGTTTAATGGTCTGACATTACTGATACTGGGTAAGTGTTTTAAATAGCGTTAAATACCTTGCATGCAAAATAACAATCCTGGAAAAGCACTGAAGTCAGCTCGATAGTGAGGCCATTCCCATGTTACTTAAGAGTATATCAAGATGATATAATTGTGCGTCCTTTCTCTAGGACACCGATATTGGTGCCAAACTGCAGTTTGAACTTGTGTCACTGAGCTCCTTGAGCCTGCTGATAGTGCAGACAATGTAGCATCGTCTAAATCGTGTTCATTTGTGCTTATCCCTCTCAGGGTTAGCCTTAATGTTGCTGCTGTGCTGTAGCTTGAAGGCGGCTCGGAGCTGGCTCTGCTCCTGTCCAGTAGAAGAAGTTTGCTCTTGGGTGTCCTAGTGCCTGCTGCTTGAGGCGGCGGATGCAGAGACCGGCAGAGCCACCAGCCCCAGTGCCCTTTTTCCAGAATTTACAGAATTCCCTGCAACTCGAATGTGAGCTGTGGTCAGACTAGCTGCACAGTTGTAAGAGAATAGCACCTTTTCCTCGTAGGAACTATTTATGTTACTTGTCAACAATTTTTGTACGTGGTTTAGTTGTTTGTTTTGCTTCTGTTATAAAATAGATCAAAAAAGTCCATGTCTGAAAACTGGTCTGTTCTCCAGGAACATAATGCCTTTTGTCATTGCTTACACCTTTGATCTGTTGTTTTCCAGCTTTGATTTCGCTCTTCAGTGTTCCTGTTATTTATGAGAGACATCAGGTGAGTGCTTAATATGTTGCTAAATACACCAGAAGAAGCAGTTCTGTTGAAATGACTCGATTTGTTTTTGTCGTGTTTCTCCTTCAATCTTCAAAAGTCTTTAAACCTTTAAAACGTGGTGTTTTACAAGCTGCGTGCTCTGTAACCGTGAGTCAGCACAAGGGCAGGAGAAGCGAGTTTGCTTGCAGGAAGTGCAGCAAGTGCTTCCCCCTCCTTCTGGGTGGACGTGCAGGTGGGCTGCCTGAGCCAGGTGTTGGGAATGAAACTCCTGCTTAACCTGGTGCTGCCTCCTGTCCCTCTGATCTGGGTGTGGACAGGACTGAAGCAGTACTAGGAGGGATTTGCTAGTCCTGTTCCAAGTACTTCTGAATTATTTTTGAGGAAACAGCTCTGAAGCTGGTGTTCAGGATTTGTGTCCTGAAACTCCACAGATTTTGTAGCCCTCGGCACAGCTCGGCACAGTCTGGTGCTTTTTTGGTGGACAGACTAGCACGAAGGAAGGAGATAAGGGGCCAAAATAAAGAGAGTCCTATTAAATTATAGCGTTGCTGAGCAGAAACCATCTCTGGCAGGACGTGGCCCGTGAGAGGGTAAGCCAGCTCTGGCTTAACAGTTCCTTCTCCTCTTTCAAAAACAACCCCTCTTCTGAGGCCAGCCTGGGACTTAGGAAAGGAGAAGGCACCAAGCAGATGGCAGAGCCTCTTGGGCTCCTCCTGAGCTCCTGTGTGCCCCAAGGAAAAAAAAAAAAAAAAAACCTGGCGCCCGCGGGGCCGAGCCTGGGCAGCCAGCGCACGAGCTGGAGGCAGCCTGGAGCACCCCGTGGCAAGCCCTGCTGCAGCGAGCGGCAGGGCCGTGCGCGGGCCTCGGCTGGGAAGCTCCTGCCATCAGTCGCTGGTCGAATCCAGGGAGTTTTATACTGGAAAGGCGCGCGGAGCTGGGCAGGGCAAGGTGCTGCAGCGGGGAGGTGGAGGAGCCCCAGCTCCGGCCATGCATCTGCCTCGCGCTGCCGCAGAGCGTCCCCGGAACCGGGCGGCGAGTCCCTGCCTGGGGGTCAGTGGGAAAGCTAACACCCGTTGCCTTACATTTCAGGCCCAAATTGATCATTACTTGGGACTAGTGAACAAGAACGTCAAAGATGCGATGGCCAAGTGAGTTTTTTTCACTTTTTAAGTAGTATTAAGAGTTTTTGATGCATGTGTGTGCTGTCCCTGTATATAATAAATACATTATGTGCATTTGTCATGGGGTTGGGGAAAGTCCTTTATTATTTAAACAATAGGGTCATCTGGAAATCAGCTCCTTTCTTGCTGATTGGTAATGTGGGATGATACCTGAGTCACTTGTTGCTCGTAATAGAAGTTGATATATTTGAAACCATTAGAGGAAGGGTGAATGAAGAGGAATTTAGCAGTTTTAGCAGTTTGATTTAGAATTTAGCAGTGATTTAGAATTTTGTGTTGCCATGATAATTATCTTCAGATTTGTGTTTTTAAGAATACATTCATACCTACATTTTTTCCTTCCTAAAATGCTGTTTTCCTCTTCTTACAGGATCCAAGCAAAGATCCCGGGGTTGAAGCGCAAAACTGAATAAAAAAATGTCTGAAGCAACTTAACGATAGGAAGTTCAACTTATAAGGGGGGAAAATACTCATCTGGATTTATGTGGGGAGGGTCAGGGAATAGCAAAACCCTTGACATTGCAGTGCAATTTCACAGATCTTTATTTTTTAGCAACGCAGTGTTTGAGGAAAAATAACTGTTTTGACTGCCATGTGTTTCATCATCTTAAGTATTGTAAGCTGCTATGTATGGATTTAAAACTAATCATCTTTCTTTATCCTGTGTGCAGCACTGGCTAATACAGACGATTTGAGAAAGCTGTACATTTGCTTCATCAGAGGTAGTCCCTGCTGCGTTCAGGAAGGGGTAGTGCAGGTGGGTTGGAGGGTAACACTTCCCAGTTTGTGCACTGTGTATGGTCTGTGTAGATTGCAGATTTTCTAAAATAAGATGTTTTAGAAGAATATACCATTTTAGCAAGTTTTGAAAAATCTTGCCTTTTTGGTATGAGTATAGCTGTATTGTGATTTTATTGTTTTATCAATTGCCAATATATATATATATATATGTGTTTCACAAAGCTTAGATCTCTCAGCTGCTCCACAGTGCTTCATACTTCGAGAGGTGACTGATCTCTGGACTAGCTCTGTAGCACACAAGCTTGAGAAATCAAAATGTCTCTGTAACCGCGATCGGCTCTTTAGAAGAAACAAAAAGGAATGAACAAAGGAATTTCCATCTATATTAAAAAAAAAAAAAAAAAAGTAACAAATTACAGCATACACTCTGCACAAGCATACAGTAGTTGATTTTAAGTAAATACTTATGCAGTCTCTCAAACTCTGATAATCTGTGGACCGAATATTAAGGCTGCAATTGTTGTTTGGAAATGTAAAACCTTGTTTTGCAAGAAATTATAAATGAAGATTTATACACTTGCAGTTTAAGCTGTATTGAACTAAGTCTGTGGAATGCATTGTGAAATGTAATAAAAAAAGAAAAAAACAAAACAAAACAAAAAACCCCAAGTATCAATAAAGCTTACAGACATAAATAATACCGGTATTTTGCTTTCTTGAGGCAAGTTTAATATATTTGTGTTTATTTTGTTTAAGTTCATTAAGTGATTATATATCTGTTGTACCTGGTGGTGGAAATAGTTTTTTTCAGACTTATAGCAATGTGGCTAGGTGGATTTTTCATGGTATCTTCCCGTATGTGCAGTGTGAAGCAGTCTGTTGAGCCCTAGCTCTGTGACGTCCCGTGCGGCCCCGGCTCCCTGGTGCGAGTCCTTACTGAGAACTGGGAAAGTTGGGATTTGAGGCCGTTTCTGCTGAAAAAAGCAATGCTCCTTGGCAGCTTTTATTTTGGAGACTGCTATGTGTACAATGTTGTGGCTTGAGGGAAATTCTGATAAAGTCCAGTAACTTTTCAGATCAGCTGGAGTCTGATGACATAAAGACAGTTGGAAAATGAATTTATGTTCAAATGTGAGACACAGATTTTGAATTAATAGCATCTTCACCATTTAAAAATAAATTCATGCATTAATGCTTTAATTTACAGTATAGTACATCACTTCTGAACATTTTATACATAAAACCAAACAATATAAACATACAAATTGTATTAAGTGTTTTCCTGACAGACACTATTGCTGTTAGATATTTCTCACATCACCATTTATTAATTCATTCTGCTGCACAACTGGTTTTATTCAGGATACAATCAGTGTGAAAGGCAAACAGTACAACATAGGCAAAAACGGTGTCCACTAACATCACCACCTAACATGATTACATAATATGATCAAGGTTTCGTTTAAAAAAGAAAACAACTGCATAGGGACTCTTATTGTGTATGTGACAGACTGATCTTCTGTATAGTAATATAAGGCATTAATAAATTCCATTTAAAAAAAAAAGGTGATTCTTTGAGGTTGCTGAAGCACTTTTGTGTATTAAATATACATTGATCCATGCCTTGAATTGGATATTCCTTGCACCTGTCACTCGTGTGATCCTCTGTATCCAGCAGCTACCTGCCTAAAGCTCAGTGGGAATCAGAATGGGTTTGGCAGGAAGGTTCCTAGTTCAAAACCTAGTTTTTCCAAAGTGGGAATAAAGCCATATTTAACACTTTTCTTCAAATGCCATGTTTAAGTCAAAGTAGTTTAGCCCTTACTACTTTTGGTTTAAAAGAAAAAAGTATTTTTTTAAAAGAAAGATCTTTTTCAAAACATGAATGTGTTCCATGCTAGATGCATCGAACATCTGCTTTGCTTTTGTCTGCAGCGAGCAGTCCTTTCTAGACTGCTTGGAGGGAGAAAAAAAAAAGGTCGTTTTCCTCTCCCCCGGTTTGTCCCCTCCTGGGAGCTTTGGTTGGACAGACACGTTCCTCAACGCAGGCCGGGCGGCGCTGGCCGCTTTGCGGGAGCCGCTGGAGGCGTCTCGCGCTCTCCGCGCTCGGGGCAGACTCTCCTGTGGGGCTGCCCAGCCCCGGCAGGAGAGGCCGGGATGGGAGAGACTCCCCCGGGGCCAAGACACCCTTTTCTCGCCGCGGGGGAACCAGCCGCCTCCGCCTGCTGCTCCCAACAGCCTGGGCCCGTTGCAGCCCGCGGTGCCGCTTGGGAAACAGGGACTCTCAGGTGCCTTCAGAGCACCTTTTCTATAGGCTAAGTAATTGGTGCCTGTGAAAGCAGTTATAGGGGCAGAATTCAGGAATGCTCAGCGAACAGCTTCCTCCTTGCTTGTGCTTAAGCTCCCTGAAAGAAATCTCTTGTGTCCCTTTCCCATTACTCGCCTCCAGAGTCGAGCTGCAGACCCTGGCTGCAACCTGCTGTCCCGGGGGCGGAGCAGGCCGCGTCTCGAGAGCCGCAGCGGGGCCTTGCCCAGCGCGTTTGCTCTCGCGCGCAGAAACATCGCGGGTTTCCGTGGTGAACGCAGGAACGGCAAGCGGGAAGAATGGCTAATGCAAGGACGCGGCTGGGAAAGGTGGTAATGGTTAGCCCTCCTCTGGGAAAGTTATAGCACCATATGTTGAAGCAAACATTGGTGGGAGGCAAGACTGTAGCCCCTACGACTGGAAAATCATTCAAAGGCACTTCATGGATAGAAAACTTTGCCAAATAAATATATTCAAAAATAAAATGGATTTCAGAAATGATACTTTGCTCCTTTGATTACTGAAAGCTGAAGTATGGATCCAGTGTACTCACAAGAAGCTTGCTGTTTATTCAGTGCACCAAATTCTAAATTTGCCTTTTAAGCAGGTGTAGAGAAAACACCAGCTTTCTTGAACAAACCTTTAATTTTGAAGTTGTGCAAATTAAGGGGGCTGTTTTCTTGGTGCGCTGCTTTTGCAGCCGTAGCTGCAATAACAACACAGAATTAAGCAAAAGCAGCCGAGTGAACTGTTCATCCCCGAGGCCTTGCGTGGGTTACAAAACCGTTCACTTTAAACTTCAGCTTCCTTCTCAAGGATGGTGGTGTTTCAAATGCAGGAGGGTGCTCCCTTTCAGCATGGCCACATCAGTAATCTGAGACATGTGCGATCCGTGCAGCATCGTGTGGAGATGGCAGCAGCGGAGGGGCGAGAGGCATTCACGGCTGTCCGCTCCGGACGGTCCCGCGGCGGCGCGGGTGCAGCAGCGGGGAGGGCTGTGTCTCAAAGACATCGCCACACAAACACACTGCAAAGGAAGCGACGGGAGAGGGACTTCTAAGCACCTCGCTGATAAACTTCAGCATAGGATACCAAGAGAAATGGGATTAGGGAAATAGCGATCGGCTGCTTCACATGGTTGGAGCTCTTAATTTGCCTTACCCAGAGTCTTAAATCTGCATTTACCAAATTGCCAATTTAATGGCCCAGCACTGCAAAGTACTTGTCTCATGTTAAAAGCGTTTTGCCCACCAGCTCCATATGTGTGTGATCAGTCAGCAAAGGACTGAAATCTGGAAAAACTATTATTTAACCCTGCAGAGTTAGAATTTGGCTTCATAAATTGTTGTCAGAATAATATTGAAAGGAAGGGTAAGCACTCGCGACTTCACCTATTAACCTCTAGGCTGCAGGGTGAGGGTTTAGGTGCCTACGTCCTTTTGTTCCCGCATGACAACTTGGATCAGCAGCATTTCCTGAGCGCTCGCTGTGCGATACCTTCCCAGACAAAAACACCCCAAGGTTTTTCCAAACCGGGAAAAGCAAACATCTGATTTCTGGGGTTCCTTCAGCCCCACCAGATGGATTTAGGAGAAGGTACAGGCTTGTATCTTCCTCGTAGGCATGTGTAACTAGCAAGTGCTTGGAAGCTTTTTCCTGCCTTTTTCCTGTTAGTGCCTGTGCCCTGTTATTGCCTGCCTTGTTGCTGCTCTGTGGCCACGTTTCACTGTTTATAAAGGTTGCACTGGCTGTTTAACCCTGTGCAGGTCTGGTCCTCACCGCTCTGCTCCCTGTGCTCCGTGAGGGCCCTGTCTGCGCTGAGCACCGGGGGCAGCTCAGCCTGGGGCCCGGGCGTTCGGCCCACACGCTCGTCCCCCCAGCTCTGCCCCTTCTCTCCACCTCAGGAGCCTTTGGCGCAGCCCCCTGTTCCTCCAAATGCCTCTGTCTAAATCTGTCCGTCTGCTCAGCCGGATTCCTGCGCTGCCCTCCGCGCCGAGGGCGCTGCCCGGTTATTCCTGGGTGAGTGACGGCCCCGGCTGCCGCCTTTGTCTGCTGGAGGCGGCAGCTGCGAGCGAGGCTCTCGCGCGGGGCGCTGGCGGCACCGCGGGCTGCATCGCTTGCGGGGAGCCCCCTGCGCCCCCGCGGCCGCCGCATCGGTTTGCCCGAAAAAATCCTATTTGTTAAAAAAAAAAAAAAAAAAAAAAAACACCCTTGATGTGGCAAGGTCACTGTTTCAGTATTTAATTCTTTTAGAGTTCAGATTTCTTTTTTTTTCCATATCCTGGCCACATCGTGTCAGCTGCGCCATGGCCACAGGCAGCAGCCCC